ACAGTATTCTAAAAAACCACTGCTATATTCAGGGAACAACAAACATACAAAAATAATGAAAAATGACGTCCTTCGACATATTTTTCCCTATAACATTGGAAGAAAAATGTCGAAAAACGGGTCAATTTTGGTTATTTTTGTATGTTTGTTGTTCCTCTGAATTTAGCAACGGTTTTTTGGAATAAGCAATCTCGGATTCTTATTCTACATAATATTTGGGATTTTTCTGTACAACAAAATAGATTACTTACAATACTTACTTAATACAAATGCCTCGAATGCTCTATCGTCTGGACTATCATTGATATTTTTCATTCTGATATACTGGCTGGTACTACTAAATCTAAAAAAAAAATCCCGTAAGCTCATAAATACATACAATTTAGTATGTCAATAATTTTAACAGAATCTTCATTCGTTGGTACTTGCTACAGTCTATTCCAAATAATATTTTTTACATGACATATCAAATTTGTCACGTCTTGTATATTTTCCAAGACTTAATCCTAACTGACAAGAATTTTAAGTGACTTATCTTACTGATGGGTCGTTTCTGGTCCCAACTAATATCGTTGACCGCAATTTATAAGGGGAATTCCTTTGGGGAAATTTATGAAGCCTCGGAAGGACCCTCAATTTGTTTCCTATAAGGGTTCCTGTAATGACATTTTGAATTTGCAGAATTGATGAGGACATTTTTATTTCTGACCCGTTTGTTTATTAAAAAAAATATTCTAGTTTATGAAATTAGGAAATTTATAATTTTTTTACCAATGAAACTTAACCAATATCTTGAATTTAGCACCACGAATTAAAATAAACAACGTGATAATTATACAAGGACAGCTGGAGGCTTTTGTTATACATTTTAATCATAAATGTAAAGGCTGATCGAAAGCGTCAGCCGAGAATTGTAAACAGTTTCACTGAAGGGCTCTTGTAGCGAACTGGAGTCCCGACTGACAATGGATTTTATTGCTCACTCAGAATAGACTGTTATATTGCCACTCTGACCTTTATCAAGCAGAATAGTCTACAGAAATTCTCTAGAACATTTTTTGTCGTCGCTATAGACCGAAGTAAAGTTAATTGCTAATAATAAAACAACAAGGTATAATAAAGTGCTGATACAATACGAAACCACAGTTAAATTTATTTACAGAGCTTGTCCGATTTTCCCAATTTTACCACAACAAATTATTTACATATTCGTTGCGTTGAATTTTAAATGGAATATAATTTTAATCCAATAAAACTCTGGTCTTACATTGACTACGTGTTCTAAAGACACACTGCATATTCTTTTTCAAAGTACGTAATGATGGAAGTTTTGGCGAGAAATTGTTATTATTCCCTGGCCCTACAGTGTCATATCTATTCGCAGTTAGAATTTTTCCTAGTTATAAATGTCAACCGCGTCGAGGTACCTAATTGGCGCCCAACTATAGGAACGTGGAGCAGACTCCGCTGACAATAGCCCAGGAAAATTGAATCAGTAAACTTCAGGGTAACAACTTGTGCATAATGCAAAATTAATTATGACATGTAATGAATTTCAAAATAGCGCAGAATTGGCTTCAGTAGAAGTTAATTTGTTACTACTTCGCTTTGTAATTACCTAAACTGCTTAGTTGGTGTGCAAAAACTGCTAAATTTAAATTAACTGTTGTCGTTATATACATTTTATGTTAAAAATTGACCCTCTCTGCCATTGCATGTGCAGTTCATCAAGGAAAACCCTGCATGAACGGATACTATCTGAAATGTCTTTGTTAAAGTGGTGAAAATAAATATCTACTATAAAAAAATAATTGATGCTGTTGTGTAAACTAAGGAAACCTTCCTCAAATATACAATTCTTATATTCGACCACTTATCTGTCTGCTTTTATAACTTGGTCACTGTATCTGAAATAAGAATAAAATTGGCCAAAACCGCTTGGAGGCATGCAATAAAAATCCCACAGGCCCTTCTATGGTTTCTCAACGAGCCCTCAGGGAGGGCGGGGATCTCGTTTCACCATACAATTATCCACACTTTACCAACGTTTCTTTTTACAATGACGCCAACAACAAGCGAAATTAACTGGAAAAGTTTGTTCGAAACATTTTTTTATATGACTATAAAAATATATTTAACATTTGCAAAGTTGGTCGTACTGCCACTTTTTTATCATTTACATTCTTTAAAATCTATAAATCCACTGTGAAAGAACTACGGTTTTCACTGAGGGACATGATTTAATCCAAATGGGACCGGCAAATAGCTTAAGAGGATATGGAGTCGTTTCAATTGAATCAGAACCCTCTACGCCAAAGGCAAATAAATATATGCCGTAGGGTCGAACTCAATCTGGCTGTACTCTTTGTACACACTGTTAGAAAATGCAGAGGCATTTGACATGGTCTTGTCGTAGCCAGTGTTGAGCAAAGATGATAGAATTTTATCAAAATATGATAAACAAAATTTAAACTTTAATTTAAAAATTTAAATTTAAACTTTAACTTAAATTTAAAAATAAATATAAATAATAATGATACCTTATTGGAAACTAGAATACTCTTCTTAGGAGTTATTAATAATATGTTACTGTTGTCGTAGGCAGCGCAATTACCCACAACAGTCTCAGATCCATTGTGCATGCTGTTAATAAAAGATATTAAACCAGATCCGGGCTTTGTGCGAAGGCAAATACTAGTTGTAGTCAAAGATATTTGTGTCTTTTACCAATAAGCAAGTACAGTGATGGTGAATCTCGTCTTCATATCCGCATAATCTTAATGTCGCGCTGATACTGAGACCAATTCTAGTGAGGTGCTTGTTTAGATGTTCACGATTCGTTAGAAGCAAAGTAATTTCCCAAGCAAGGACGATTTCAAGGTATTGAAAGGCAACGAATTGAATTTGGTTCGGGTATTCGCACAGGCCAGAGATTTATGCTCTGGTTAATGAACTGCGAGATCCCAGAGCCGAAATCTATAGAAAATCTATAAATGTATCAGATAAAAATGCCTCATAAATATATAGGGACTTTAGATTTTAGAAACTGGTTAAAATTTTCAATGCATTTCTCGCTACAGGGTAGATTCGCGTATTTTATTTGTCCGTCACGTTTCCACTCGACACATTCCGGGCGAATTTGCATTACCTCTCGGTGCTGTCACAAAGAAAACAAACCGAAGCCAACCGCAGTTTGCCCTGCAGGATAAACAAATTAACCGGCGTATTTTGTAAGTAATGCGGTCACCTTTTTTCGACTATAAATATTTAAATCCGTAGCACTTCAGGACCGCACTGGGAAATGAATTTTGGACCGTCGCCGTCGTCGGCTCTCTGCTGATTTGCATGCATTGCAAATGTTGGGTCTGGCTGTTTATAAGTAAGGCGGCGGCGGCGGTTACACTGGATGCGAATTCGTACGAAAATCTGTTCGTACAAAATATCCCATTGAAATAAATACGTGTACTTACATGTGAGCTGTTACACTGTAGTATGAAACAAGTTGGATCGATTTTACGTTACAAAAACTATAACAACAAAGCCGTGTAACCTTTCTGTTTGTACGAATAAATTGTGAGAAATTCGTTGGTATAATTTCGTACGAACCGATTTTTGCATGAACAAGGTAGCAACAGTGTTACTCTCTAGAACTAGAATCTAAATAAAATTAAACATACACATGAGTCGGAACTGCCTTATGCAGAGTGTTTTTTTATGTACGTACAGCAATACAGGGGCGTATTCCATGGATAACTTTGCATTTTGGTTAAATCAAAAGAGGGTCCTAGAAAACAAAGAAGACCTACTAGATTAAACAATTAAATACGGGTGTTCTATTAAAATATCATTTAGAATTTGTAAAATTTACATGTCACGCCACTGTTCATCTATGCTTCAATCAATTATTTGTATTCCCAGGACATTGCTTATTTATAAACCACGTATTGCATATTAAGCTTCCTTATTTCTACACTTGTTGATACATAATATATTATTTTAATTGTAGTAATTTCCTATACTTGGAGTATATTACCAACTGATTGCTAGTATTTTCCATCATAAATAACTCATTTGTTCCTGGTTAATCTTCAAGAAAATAATTCGTAATAATATATTTGTAGTAATATTTTTCCCTTAATAATTTGTAGGGGTTCTGCCATTATTAAAAAATTAAATGCAGATTATAGTTGACAGTAAGTTAAAGAACAGAGCAAATTCAACTTAGGAGGGGGTTGAGAGATTTTATTCTTTTGTATAAGTACTATTTCAAATCAAAACTTTGCATCTCTCCTTTTTTTGTTTGTTTTTTTCGCGAAATTACCCCATTTTTGTCCTCTATAAAAATCTCACAATGTTGTCGCCACTTTTTGGGAATTTTATAAGTTTATTTGATATACAATTGTTCTTCAAAGAAAAATATTTGTCAAAGAACATATTTATCATACAATACAATTGATGTCCCTAAAAATGCATAACAAAACTAATCGTTTATTTACTTATGATTGTTTTTTGAAACAATAATAATATATTATACATTTAGTTTCAGAAAGAAGGAGGGTTTATCTAACTTGTCTTGTTAGTATAGGTCACATCTTGCAACTGAATATTAAATCAGTTATCCCCAACCGATTCAGCTGAAATTTTGTATACGCGATTAGTTTGGATGACAATGCATGGTTAGTTGTGACGTCATTATAAATCTAATATGGCGGACCAGTTATTTTTTATGCACCCCCATGATATGGGTATCAAATGAAAGGGTTTGCTGAGAAGAATACGAAAATAAAATGCCGTCACTAAACAGCTTATTTTTAAAAAAATTTTTGTACATGAACTTATTAGTAGTCTAGAAATATAGTCTTTCACCTTTGCTTACCCTTAGCATTTTATATCGTCATTCTCCAACAAAATATTATATTACTTTACATTATTACAAAGCTGTGACTTACTTTTTACTTTTATCCATAATTATTTTAATTAATTCAACTTTTTTGTTTCAGTGAAAAAAGCTCGCTACGTTGGAGCTCAAGGTGAGTGTACATATTAAATTATGTGTTTTGCTTCACTTCAAAGTTATCTTGGCAATATTTACCATATTTAAATGAGAACGCCGATTTGTCTGTATGTTAAGGTGAAGGTTCTCAAAATACTGGAAGTTAAATATTGTTACAAAAATATTTGTGTAGGCATACTCTTGAGATCAAGAGTCGATACCTAGGGGGCAATTTTTTTATTAGTTTTTAACCGAATTTATGTTTTCTTGTACATCAACATCTTCAAATAAAGTAGATTCAGATAAGAGGTACAATACCAGTCAAGTCCTGGCTGTTTCTAGATTACAATGTTGAACGTAAGTCAAAACAGCCCTTTCTACGGTTGTCAGATGTCACATTGTTTAGTTATTACAGCTTGAACCTAGATGGAAAAAGTTATTTTAATAAGGAAAAAGTAAAAAGGAGTAACAATAACAAATAGTCCGAAATTTATACATGCTCCAATATCATTGAATGTCTTTTTATAGAAAAGAATTATGTTGATATCGCAGTTTCAGTAAAATACAACGTAATGGTAGTAATTCTGAGTAGAGTTAGATATTTGTTATAAAGTTACCCGCGTCTTATTTTGTTGCATAAAAAGTACGTTTTATCATATATCCGTATCACAGTTTGTTGCTATTCGTAAGCACAGATTCGTCAACAGTCATCCACAATCCACCAATAAAATTTGTTCGATTTAGTCCGAGCTTATATTAATCTCAATTTCCTGTTTTATTCAATCAGATTATTGGCCACTTAGGTATTTATTTCTGCCAAAATAATTAAAAGTATTCATTGCCTAAGTAAATCATGTAATAAAAATACCCAGTACGGCAACTGTAAGATACCTTTTATGCATTTGACTTTTAAACTGTTTTTTTACACTAAAGCTTAAATTAATATGTTCAGTGTTTGCCCCGTCACTTTTAGAAACTGACTGGAATAGAAAATAATAGTCTTTAAAAATTCACCACATCAGGATGTATCTACTGACAACCATAGAAACATTTATTTTTTTTTCATAACGTCTGTATCTTTTTCTGTTACTTACCTCCTGAGATTAAGAACTATTTGTTTGGTAGACATGTGAAGCGAAGTTTCCACAAGGGATTTACGTTGAAGAGGAAGGACGTCACTTTGAACCTTTCATTTGAATGTTTAATTTGTATTTGTATTGTTCTAGTAACTTATGTATTTTAACCTTATGATTTTGTTATCATTCTTTATTTGTTGAGGACGTTATTTTTTTATTATTTATCATTAACTGCCATCAGCGTAACAACAAATTTTCACAAAAATGACTATCTGTCAAAAAAACTAATTCTCCACA